CCTCTCCCCTCCTACCCATTCTCCTCCTTCTTTTCCCCCACCCTTCGCTCTCCCTCTCCCTTCCCACTTTTTCTTCTCCGTCTTTTCCCCTACCCTTCGCTCTCCCTCTATCCTCCGTCTCCCTTCCCACCCTTTCTTCTCCCTCTTTTCCTCCACCCTTCGCTCTCCCTCTATCCTCCGTCTCCCCTCCCACCCTTTCTTCTCCCTCTTTTCCCTTACCCATCGCTCTCCCTCTATCCTCCGTCTCCCCTCCCACCCTTTCTTCTCCCTCTTTTCCCTTACCCTTCGCTCTCCCTCTATCCTCCGTCTCCCCTCCCACCCTTTCTTCTCCCTCTTTTCCCCTACCCTTCGCTCTCCCTCTATCCTCCGTCTCCCCTCCCACCCTTTCTTCTCCCTCTTTTCCCCCTCCATCCCAGCACCCTTTGCCTCACCGACCTCCCGCCTCCGCCCACCGCGATGCCCAATGTCAATGCTGCTGTTATTATGCAATTATATGCCAAGGTCTCTTCGCTTAAATGGCTCGCATCCGCTGTGGGTCTGACGATGAGGCGTGTATGGTGCGTTTTTTGTTATTGTTGTTGTTGTTGTTGTTGCTGTTGCGTGTATGACATGTGTTTGTTTTCGTTGTTGTTGTAGTGTATGGTGCGTTTTTGTTATTGTTGTTGTTGTTGTTGCTGTTGCGTGTATGACATGTGTTTGTTTTCGTTGTTGTTGTAGTGTATGGTGCGTTTTTGTTATTGTTGTTGTTGTTGTTGCTGTTGCGTGTATGACATGTGTTTGTTTTCGTTGTTGTTGTAGTGTATGGTGCGTTTTTGTTATTGTTGTTGTTGCTGTTGCGTGTATATGTGTTTGTTTTCGTTGTTGTTGTAGTGTATGGTGCGTTTTTGTTATTGTTGTTGTTGTTACTGTTGCGTGTATGACATGTGTTTGTTTTCGTTGTTGTTGTAGTGTATGGTGCGTTTTTGTTTTTGTTGTTGTTGTTGCTGTTGCGTGTATGAGATCTGTTTGTTTTTGTTGTTGTTGTAGTGCATGGTGCGTTTTTGTTTTTGTTGTTGTTGTTGCTGTTGCGTGTATGACATGTGTTTGTTTTCGTTGTTGTTGTAGTGTATGGTGCGTTTTTGTTTTTGTTGTTGTTGTTGCTGTTGCGTGTATGAGATCTGTTTGTTTTTGTTGTTGTTGTAGTGCATGGTGCGTTTTTGTTTTTGTTGTTGCTGATGTGAGTATGGTATGTTGTTGTTTTTGTTTTTACTATCGTCGTTGTTGAGGTGTGTATGGCATGTTTTTGTTATCATTGTTGCGTGCATTGTTCGTTGTTGTTGTTGTTTTGAGTTCTGGGACTGGGTAGTGGGTGTGTTATTTATGCTGTTTGTGGGATTATATGTTTTCTTGTAGGGCTGTCTGTTACGCGTATATAGTGTGTTTGTTATTAGTACTGTTGTTTTCCTGAGGGGTTATACGTTTTCTTTCTGGTTTATGTGTTATTTTTAGTAAAGGAGAAAAGTAGGTGAGGGATGGGAAGGGGGAGGGGAGACGAGGAGGTAGAAAGAGAGGGGAAGGGGAGAAAGGGGAGAGAGGGAGGATAGAGAAGGTATGGGGAAGTGTGGGCGGAAAGAAAGAGACGAAGCAAACGCGAAGGGAGAAAAGAGGGAGAGAAGAAGAGAGAAAGGGAGTGAGGGAAACAGAAGGAGTATGGAAAGAGGAAGGGGAAAGGAAAGGACGGAGAAAAAGAGGGGAGGAATAAGGGGTGGGGAAGGAGGGACAGAAGGGGACAGAGAGAAGGATGAAGGTAAGAAGAGGAAGAAGGAAGGAAAGAGAGGAGCTGGGACTTAGAGTAAGGTAGAAGGGAGTGGGAGGACAGACGTGAGGGAAGGACGAAAGGAAAAGCTAGGGATGGAAAAAAGGAAGGAGGCTGAGGAGAGAGGAGGGGCTGGAGGAAGAGAGAGAGAGAGAGAGAGAGAGAGAGAGAGAGAGAGAGAGAGAGAGAGAGAGAGAGAGAGAGAGAGAGAGAGAGAGAGAGAGAGAGAGAGGAGAAAAAAAGAAAGAACAAATGAAAAAGAAATAGAAGACCGAGAGATAGACAAAACCAAAGTTACAGTAAATAAAAAAGAATAAAAAAGAGAGAGAGAGAGAATTTGCATAAGCCATTAAAGGAAGGAAAAACACGGGCACGAGAGCGAGACCCCAATTTTGGCCGCCAAAATGCTTCACAACTGCTTTGTCTACGGAGGCCTCCTTCACCACCGGAAAAAAATGTAAAGAAAGAACTGCAGAAATGAAGAAAGAGAGACAGAAAATAAAATAAAAATAAAAACAGGTATAGCTCTACGCAAAAAAAAAAAAAAAAAAAAAAAAAAAAAAAAAAAAAACTAGACAAGGAAAGAAAAAAAATAAAATAAAAATCAAGTTCAACGGCAAAACAGAAACGACTATGGTAACAAAAGACATAATATCGAATGTGATAATAGAAAAAATGACAAAGGTAAAATTAGCAATGTCGATGACCATGGGGATGGTATCATTAATATGATAATGAAAGCAAAATTAATCATGATTGTTGCCATAACATCAACAACGAAACAATACAACAAAAGCATACCAACAACAACAATGAAATAATGATGATAACTAAGCAGAAAATATAATGTTATTTTCTTGTTCATCCAAATCACAATAAATCTTTCCCCAAGGAATGGAAATGACAAGGCATTCTTTGGACGAACAAGGAAATTACGTAACTATTTTCAAGGTAAACTAGGCAACAGGCAAGTCACTGGTAGGGAAAACTGCCTTTTTCTAAGATAATTTATTGATCTATCTTTCTACATCACAATTTTTTTTTCTATTCTTACTATTATGAATATGCTCATCATTTTTTAAAAATCTATTACAACTGTTTATATTCTATTCTTATTATTATGATTATGTTTATTATTGTTTTTATCATTATCATCATATTCGCGTTGTTATCAATGTTGTAATCTCTTTTAGCACCAATATTCATATCTGTCTCTTTAATAAACATTTATACATTATTTCCTCTTCTGAATTCTGAATATCAGATGATAAAACATCACGATTTAATGATGACAAACACGGAAATAACAAAAAAAAATAAATAAAATAAAATAAATAAATAAAAATAAAATAGATAAATAAATTAAATAAATAAATAAATAAATAATAATATCACAGAGGCAAAGTCAAACTCATTGGTTTCCACACTGAACAATTAAAGAGAACATCTAATATATAAATAACTACACAAGGCATAAGTCTTTCTTGCTTTACCTCAGCAAACAATAAATAGTTTCACGGAGGTATAAATGTATATGAAACAGGGATATGGGGGAGGAAGACGACATATATATATATATATATATATATATATATATATATATATATATATATATATATATATATATATATATATATATATATATATATATATATATATATATATAGATAGATATAGAGAGAGAGAGAGAGAGAGAGAGAGAGAGAGAGAGAGAGAGAGAGAGAGAGAGAGAGAGAGAGAGAGAGAGAGAGAGAGAGAGAGAGAAATAGACAAAACAGACAGCCAGATAAATAGAAAGAGGATGTACAATAGAAAAAATCAATATTGCGAAGAACAGAGACAGCGACAGACCGCCAAACAGCCGCCCCTGGAAAGCCCGACAGCCAGAGCTCACAAAGGCAGGGCCAGGAGAGAAAGGCGAGACGCAGAAGGCGCGAGAGGAGGCGAAGCAGAGGGGCGCGAGGGCTGGAGGATTCGCGTTTGGCGGGCGTGGCGTGGCAGGTGGTCGCTCGGGCCTGGCTGCGCAGATCCGCCGCCACGAAAATCGATAAAGTGTTCCTTGGCGCCGCAATATATGTCAAAGTTTGAGCCTTCTCCGGCGGGCGTGGGCGTGTGAGAGGCCTCCGAGGGCGTAGCGAGGGAAATTGGCTAGGCCGTGGCAGGGCTAGGAGGGGCGTGGAGGACGCGGGGGCTCGCAGGGACGGGGCCGAGGCGTGCGCGCGGAGGCCATGTTGGAGGCCATGTGGGAGGCCATGTTGGAGGCCATGTTTGTTGTGATGTGTTGAGGCGGGGATTCGGTGCTCAAGTCCGCGCTCGGTGAGTTTTCTCGCTCTGGCCTCGATTTTGGCCCTCCTTCGTGCCCTCGGCCGGGGCGTGGGCCTCGGGGGAGGGCGGGGGCGGGAGGGACGGAGCATGTCATGCGGCAGGGGCGTGCAGGGCGGGAGAAGAGAGAGAGAGAGGAGAGGCAGGGGGAGAGAGAGTGAGAGAGAGGGGCAGGGAGAGAGGGAGAGAGGCAGACGGAGAAGGACCATTCGGGAGGAGGGACAAATTCGGTTATTATCCCTGCCCTTTGCCTTTCTTCGTCTCCTCTCCCTTGTGGGTCCGTGGCCGCCCGTGCTCCTCCAGTGGGCGTGGGTGGGCGGTGTGGGCGCCGCGGCAAGGCGAAGGATAGATGAGGGCATAGAACGGAAGGAGTAAATCGGAATTAGTGAAGGAACAAAGCTGTGATTAGTTTGTTTAATCGTAAAAGTGCTTAATAAATCGTATATTTTGCTAATATTAAAAAAAATATATATAAGCAAATCTCAGAGCGGATTACTCACATAGGCCTATGCACTGAGGCTTCTACCGTCATGTTAAAATTGCTAGACAATTACATATGGTTTTGTCATTTCATGCGATTCACTCGTAAATCTTATAAATTTCTTGTGTCTTTGTGTCGCTCGATTTAGGAAATCTATTGAAAATGTGATTAACAGTATTTTGTACTAACGTTTGAAAAATTCACAGATGAGAGGCTGTCTTAATGTATTTGTTAATTATATATAATTACTTCCTAGTGTATGTGTGAAACTGACAAAAGGTGTAAATAGAGAACGTGAAAATACTGTATACGAAAGAAAAGTGGACATTGTGCTTCTAAGAAGCACTTGTAACTTGATTTTTAAACCTGAAGATATTAATAGAATACCTGTTTAATCCCAAGGTAAATTTCTAGTCCTTTGGAAATGCATGTCATTTCAATATACACTTTGTTCATGCTAATGTTACAGGTATGCAGAACTCAGAATATTGCAAGAGACTGAATGCTGAATTTTTGTTTTTTTATATTTTAAAAATATATATGTATAGTTAATACCATGTTTAGCTTATATATACTATAAATTTTGTTCCTTGAGAGGAGAATGACGGAAAGTGTTGAGGTTGTAGGTTAACATGTTACAAAAATCCTTAAGGCATTATATCTGTTGTTTGATAATAAGTATTATGAATGTGAAATAATATATATCAATGACTGTCAATGTGTATACTTTCAAATTCATTTTATTTGCATTTTCATGTGGATTTGTAATGTTCATTTTTGTTTTTACTGGAGTTTCTGTGTATATTTATCTGTGTGTATATGGGAACATATATGTAATTTTTGTGCTTTTTTATTTTTTGTAAACAATTCAGTGAGTATGAGAAAGATTGGCATACTTGCTTAAATTAAACCCACATTGCTATTAGGAACAGCTTTTTTTTCTGTACCAGTTAACTTGAAACTTTGATGGAGAGCCTACTATCTTTGATAAGATAGTGCTTGACTGTCAAGGAAAGTCTTCAAGCTTTTTTTGGGCAAGATAAATGGGATGGAGTTTTCTTGGCCTTTGTCTAGTGCAGATAGGTGCGGGTATGTTGGTGGTTTATGAATGGTAACATCTTAATTGATGTTGATGAAGAATTTTGAATTTTAGACTTGGTAAAAGCAATACATAATTTACAGCTGAGAAGCGTATTTAGACATAAAGAAATAAAAGGTATTTCTTACTGAGACAGATGCAATCTCCAGAGACGAAGTCCAAAAACCAGGTTATCATGCAAACTTAAATTCGAAACCTAACCTTTCCTACCTTCCATTTTTTCCCTAGACATTGGGGCTAGCTCCCCTCAGCCCCCCTTTATTAGGACTTCATGCCAAATTAGAGAAAACATGGCACTAAGAACTAGCTTTCAAGGGTATTGTGGACATGCAGCAGATATTTTCTTCATTTCCCTGTAAATAAGAGGGCTGCAGCTGTACCTGTGCAGTTTATAACTCTATTTCTTTTGCTCTATAAGATGGCAGTGTCTATTTCCCTCTATCTATGTGCATCGCTCTGGGTAACATTAACAACTTAAAATGCTACCATTTTTTTTTTGCAACAATGAATTGTAGATTTCAAGATACTCAAAGGTGTAGATATCACATATGTTTATACCATAGATCACTGGTTCCAAAAGTGGGCCGTACCACCCCCTTGGGAAAGTTCTGGGAGGGCTGGTAAGACTAAAAGGGACGGAATGGGGGGGACAGGATGGCATTAGAAGTAGCTAATAAATAACTTTTTATTTTTTACAAAACTGCCAAATAAATTGGTTTACTAAATTAGATTTTGTTTATGAAATACATTTTTGTGTTCACTCTTGTTTCTATTTGAAGCATACCCAAAAAAAAGAGAAAAAAAAAGTTTGCATTTGTGTGAGGGGGGATGGGAACTAGAAATCCACCTGGAAGCTGTGGGGGCACTAGCCTGGAAAAGTTTGGGAATCACTGCCATAAATCAATGGTCTTAATTATTGGCTGTAGTGGCTGTTAAATATTGGTTTTAAGATTTGAAGTAGGCAATATATGAAGTTTGTAGGCAATAAGATTTGAATTTTTGTTTTAAAAATATTGGTACACAGCCTTTTGATAGTTCTATAAGTCATAACAAAAGACATAAATATATTTTCTAATGTTGTCTTGGTGTGGAATTTGTTCTTATATACTGTAAAGATTTGTAAAATTATTCCTTTTTAGGGGGAAAGAACCAGTGGGGAAGGAAAATAATGACATGGAAAGTTAGTGAAATTATGGTTATTAACTCGGATTAATTCAATTTTATTTATCTCTTTAGATTTATTAATATAAACTAAATTTTGTAATGCATGACTGTCAGGTACAATACATAATATGCCAAAAGTAACTGTATACTGGTAAGATGAGACTCTGAATTGAATTGATCAATTTATGTTAATTCCTCATGATACACTTGCCAACTGTTACACCAGATATATCTGCTCCATTAGTATCTTTTGTAGGGATAATTGAAAATGATAATATATTCAGTCAGCTAAGTACAGAGGCATGCATTCATGTGGAGATCCACAGGGAAGGAAAATTACCAGTAAAAGCCGATGAGAGAGAAGCTGGCTGTCAGGAGACTGAATTGCTTTGTAAGAGTTCCTTCCCCCCAGCAGTTTTTTTTTCTCCATCATCCTCCTTTTCCTCATCCACCTACTTCTTCCTCTACCTCACCCTCACTCTTGTCCACTCCATTTCCATCACTCACCTTTTCTCTCTCCCTCTCTCTCCCGTAAAGAGAAAAGATAAAAGCAGAAGAGTTGAGAGGAGAGTTGAGAAAAGTGGAACAGGAGATATGAGAGGAGAGAAAGGAGAGTGAAGTGAGAAATGCAAGAGAGGA